TATTCAAATACTCTCGCAGGATGGAATTAATAAAAATTCAAAACTGTTTCTTAATATGAAAGGTTTTAAAGGGGGAAAAAAGAAACCGCTTACCTAAAACAATATATAATAAATAGTGTAATTCTTGGATAAAAATAATTATCTTACTTCTTAATTTTATTATATGATATGGGGAGAAGTACAGAATAGGTAAATGAAGCTGATAAGAATAGTAAATGTTGTTGCCATTTTTGCATGAACATAATCATTCTATTCCACTTTAAAATTGGTCTTAGTCAACCTTTAAGAGCCTCTACGTAAACTCGTACACAAGACTCGCAAAGGGCGGTGCCATGAATTCGTGAATGACCATATCTTGATAAGAGATAAGGCGCTCGCGCTCTAATCAGTCAGTCAATTGTAAATTACACAGATATCAAACTGTTGATGGACAACCCACCAGCCAGCCCGGATTCGAAAACCACCAAAAAATGGATGAAAAAAAATTCGTTCATTTACAGGCAAACTGCCCGTACGTGATTTTGCACACATCTCCTCGTGAAATCGACACCAAATCTTGTATATATCACCTCAATCTCCGAGCTGTATATCACTGTGAAAAAATCTCTTGTTGTTAGAACGCAATTCTAAACTGTTCACTGACACGCTGGACTTGTTAATTGCTGTCAATTAGCAGAACCCGACAACTTTCTCGTGAAATGAATTGTTTTCCGATAACATCGTTGACATCTTTACTGACCGTTTGCTATCGCTCTTGCATAAATTTATCCTTGCGCAGATTTGCTTCCTTTTGATGGGGTGATCAAGAGAAGATAAGAGCGTTTACGAAAGGAAACTCGAACCCAAGAAAACCAAAGCTCGGCTGTGAAAAGACAAGGCGCGTTCTCCCATACGCACAGGTGCTCGTTGTCCGGCTGATGCAAAGCGTGACACTTCGTCACCTCGTGTTTTGACATCAATTTCAGCACGCGCTTTCTAAAAACTCGATACATATCAATCGGGAGGATAAAACGAGCGGAAAAACAGAAATATTGTCTGAATTTCTCATTTTCCTATTTCCCCGTAAACTAGACAACCAACCGCAAGCCTGAAGGTCTTATTCTAAGATGTTTATCAGACTGTTTCTTGTACCCGAAGTTGTGTGCAGAAAGAAAATATTTTGCCCCATTCCACGTGAAAAAAGTCTGTTTGTTTACTTGATAATTCAGAAAAAAGTCCCTAACTATCAAGTCTCTTGCAACAACAACTTAAAAGACCATTTCTGGTCGTAAATTGAGCGAAATCGTCTCATCTTTGTCTCGAAATCGGGGGATTCTAGCAGCTTGACATGTGATATACTTGCTTTTAAGAATTCCTTACTGATTTCGATCAAAATCTTTTTGTTTGGACACCCCTTGTTTAGAACTAGTGTCAGCGTAATGTCGCAACTGTAAAAGGATCTCTTTAAAACGGCAAAAATTGGATCTGATATTATCGTTAGGAACAGACATCTTGATATAGTGTGCACTAAATGAATTACATATTGCACATAGCTTCCATTTTTCAAATATTTTAGTGTTGGGAATTTGCAGGTTGTTTTAAAAACAGTCCTTTAAAAAAATATCTGAATTAAATTTTTGAAGTAGGTCAAGTAGACACTAAAACGACACCCTTAGGCTTCGTTATGATTCACGCCTTTCAAAATAAATTCAACCACGATATATCATTTAAATAAGGGCTCTTAAGAAATTTTGCAGTAGTCTTTTAACTACCATCCCGAAACGATCGAGATTTTTAAAATAACTTTTGTAAATAATATCAAAGAGAAAAAATAATTAAATCAACGACGTTTACTTGCACTGATGAGTGAGAACAGTTGACAGTTTGTGAACTTTTTTTCCGTTCCTATTCATTTAAATTTCAATTTAGATTAATACACAAAGTGAAAACTTATCTCTTGAAAATCAGACAGTGGATAAGAAGGACCAACGTGTTTTCATGTAATATTTAACTAATGTGTTAAAAACATTACACGGCCTAGGGTAATAAGATGCGTGTCGCCTTATCTTCAGTCAAGCATTAAATGACTGCAGATTTCGACAAGGGGGGTAACAATGCCGTCTTTCAGGGTGGCTATCCGCTAAAAAGTTTCATTGTAAATCAAGATCGGGAGCAAAGCAAAAAACTACTCTTCAGACCAGTCTTCTTGTCGCCAGTTGTGTTTGATTGAAAACAAGTCGTGTGAAAAAATAGTTCAACTTTATCATAAGATCTAGATACATAAACTAAAGCCTATTTTTCTGGGACTAGTCTGCAGTAATTTTTACCATGGGCGATTACCGTTTTAAGAGAAGTTTCAGTGTTATCATACATTTTTATGAAATTGTTCAAGGGCGTTTAAATTCTAAAAAAATGTTTTATTCGTTTTAAACAAGCTGTGCCAAAATAAATCATACATTGGGGTATAGAGCCGACGCTTGCAACACAAGAACCAGTTAGGGTTGTTTTACAGATCTAGATTACAAACCACGGCAGAAATCACGATTTGATGACGAATGAAATAAGGCTCGCCCTAATATTTATACTTTGATAAAATTGACATTTATTGTGTACTAAATGACTTCATGGACTAAACGTTATCCATCATCACCTTCGTTTGATAAAATAGTGTCGTCACATTATTAATGTTGATTCAGATATTAAAAAAACATTGCTTTTCTTGCACAAGCCAGATTAAATCATAGGAATATATTTCGTCTTTATGAAAGTGGGTTATACACATTTTAACCCTAAAAGAACTTGATATCAGCTTTCATGACGCCAGGAAAATATATCCTTGGATGCTTTTCAGTGCCCTTATTATGATAACTGTTTGTAAAAATAACACGAACAATAACTTGTACCTCGTGGGAGTATATGCCGGGTACGTGTATGTATGTATTATGCGAAAATTGATATCTTGCAAACGTAACGTTATTGTGGTTAAGATATGACTCTTATTTAACCTACCTGCACAAATGACATACCGTGTAACTCTGAAAGATAATGAATGATATATGACAAAGGGGGGCTAGGTCTGACCGGAAAATGTCCTGTACAAAAGTCAACCATTTACTCTGCCACTGATACGTATATTTATCAATGATGTATCATTTTAATTACCGAATCACATAATATGCTCGTTTGTGGTATTTTATAGCTTTGGATCACGGATTTTGCGAAAATAACAAAGAGTATAGTATCTCTGTGAAAGTGTGCAATGCGAATTTCCCATTCACACAAATGTCAGTCAGTACGTATATGAAATCAACACTTTTGAAACAACCCTGCTATTGATAGGAAGAAACGATATTAATATTACAGAAATAAATCTTCAATCAAAGAGTCCTGGCAACTTAATTTCTACAGCAACAGATCAAGAGTGTGAAATACATCTGCCGTCGTCATCAATGTAGGCGTCCGCGCACAGTCTGTAGTTTGTCAGTGATGAAATCAGATGCTATGTCCATGGAATGAACACTGCGATTGTTGGTCAACGCTCGCCCCCGCATTCAGGGCGGGAGGGAGAATAATGCCCCACTCAAAACATTTCTATAAACACTACAACTTGTGTTTAGGAAATATCCTGTCGTTATGACTTAGTAAAACAATTTTGGTTTGTTAAATGCAGTGAAAACGTGAGTCCTTTGTTTCATGATACGTATTGAAAATTAATGTTTAACACATGGGCTACTCCGACAGGTATGCCACTGTGTGGTTGTAATACATATATATATTCAAAGACAAGGTTATAATGATAGTAATATTTAAATAGTATACATTCAGAGTATGGGGATCCACAATCCCACTATTCCTGCTCCGTGACTGCGAAATATCTGCATATAATTCCATAAAAAAAGTCTAAATGATGAAAATGGGCATGTCCATCTAACTAGAGCAAAATCAGCATTAGAAAAAAAATTAAAAGAGAGACAGTTATTTTGTAATAAAGATTTCAAAGACCACATGTTAATCTAAAATCCGACGAGCCTTTTCAATAAAATCTTACTGCATTTCTGGTAATAAAATTTACATTTACCACTTTAAGTTTTATGCACAGTGGGTCTTATTTTATAAAAATAGTAAAATGAACATTGGTATAAAAAATATAATATTGTTTATTAATAATAATAGATTAAATATGTTTCTGCATTAACCTACATAATTGGGCACACAAGGACAAAAACATACAAGCAGATTTAATTCTAAAAGCATGCAACAGAAATAGAGTAGGCTGTCTGGCTGATGCTTGCAATGGACACGTCTGAGATTGAAACCAACACGAAATGCTGATAAGATAAATATACGCAGACGGAGACTCTGGTCTTGTTAATATATCATATAAATATTTCTATATAAACACAGCCTGTTATGACGCCTGGTTGTATATCTTTTATCTTATCATTAGAATCATTGTTGTATTTACATTCCTATAATATAATTTATAACTTTAGCTTATGTTTACTTTACCTTAGAATGTAACAGAATACATGTTTAAGCACCGACTACATGTTTTGGAGATAATGTTCATTTTATACATACATTATATTATACAATATGATAAAAGTGATGGATTGTCATAACCTGACTCAAATATATGAAATGTCATGTAAATAATCTGTAAAATATCTAAACAAAACTTCATAAAGATATGTAAGTTTAAATATTAATCGTGAATCAAATTCGTTGATCGGGGTCAACACAGGTGCCTGATAAACAAAAAGAAATATTTCAAACTGTATCACTCAAAACCTCCCTCGCACGGCGGTAATGAAAAATCATTTAACGTTTACGCTATAAACACTCGCAAAAGGAAATATACAAAGGATGTGACGAAATTCAAACCACAAAGCTATAGCTGGAAAACAAAACGATCTCAAATGACAGGCACATTTAATAAAATGGAAAACATTAAAGTGCTACACTCTGGCGGGATATCGCCTGTTTGACGCCGAGTAGAAGGGAAATATATTGTTACATACCTTTAATATACAGCTGTTCTATATAGGGAGTGGTCGCAGGCAGTCGCCGTCACACTCGGTATGCTGTCAGGCTCGCTACTACCGTGCTCTCAAATTGCACCCCAATAACCGGTAGCGAATTTCGACCAGCTGAGGAAATGCGAGGTGGAATTTAAGCCTTCATGAGGCACGTGACTTGTACTTGCCTTGTCAATTCCACAATGGTCGCGAGCGTATCACAGGCATCACACACCGTGACGTAGTCGATTGCAGATACATTAATATGCATCACGATTTCGCGGCAAATCTTCTAGCGCGTGTTTTGGCGATCTTCTTGGAGGTTTGCTGGGTTTGTTTGAATGACGTTTTCAACAGTCTAGCGAGGAAGGGTTTTATCTGATAAAACGAAAATGGAGCTGGAAGACAAACAACGATTGTTTCACGATCTTTACCGTTCATATCGGCTGTAATTATTTTTTCACCAACGCCTCTTTGTATTCCGTCTCACGACGGAGAGGACGTTTTTAGTTTAAACATTGTTTTTATTTCTGATATACGACAAGATTTGACATGCCCCGTTTGTCTTTAGATCTTCCAGAACATGTACTCTAAAAATATCCGGGCAAGTCGGATACCAGGCATCAAACACGCTATCACACATTTGACTTCAAACTTCTTATATGGATTTGCTTTGTGAAAGGTGTTGGAACTAGCTTCATTTGTCACTACTGGTTTGATCATCTCAGGAATAGAGGACAAATGGATAGTACTCTTCGGGGGAAACAACTTGATGAACCAAATAATCATTACTCTTTAGAATTCAAAACAAGTAATGCATTGATTGCGTGAACATATTAGATATTGATTTATGTAACTTACAGGTAAGCGATGTGAATGGTTTGTTTGTTGTTTAATGCCGCTCTCAGCAATATTACAGGTATATGACGGCGGTCTGTAAATAATCCAGTCTGGGCCAGACAATCCAGCGATCGACTTCCTGAGCATCGATCTACGCAATTGGGATACGATGACATGCATCAACCAAGTCAGCGAGCCTGACCACCCGATCCCGACAAGCATGGGTTGTTGAAGATCAGTTCTAACCCAGATCTTCACAGGTTCAAATGAAAGGGCGGGAAGTGCATATGGCAGCAAAGAAATTAGGCATTGTGACTAGAAAAATGGAAAGTGCATATAGCAGCAAAGGCATTAAGTATTGTGATTAGAAAAAAGGAAAGTGCATATGGCAGCAAAGAAATAACGCATTGTGACTAGAAAAAAAGGAAAGTGCATATAGCATCAAAGAAATAACGCATTGTGACTAGAAAAAAAGGAAAGTGCATATAGCAGCAAAGAAATACAGCATTGTGATTAGAAAAAAGGAAAGTGCTTATAGCAGCTAAGAAATTCAGTATTGTGAATAGGAGAAAGAAAAGTGAATATAGCAGCAAGGAAATTAAGCATTGTGAAAAAAGGAAAGTGCATATAGCAGCAAAGAAATAAGGCATTGTGACTAGAAAAAAAGGAAAGTGCATATAGCAGCAAAGAAATACAGCATTGTGAATAGGAGAAAGAAAAGTGAATATAGCAGCAAAGAAATTAAGTATTGTGAATAGGAGAAAGAAAAGTGAATATAGCAGCAAAGAAATTAAGCATTGTGACTAGAAAAAAAGGAAAGTGCATATGGCAGAAAAGAAATTAAGCATTGTGAATAGGAGAAAGAAAAGTGAATATAGCAGCAAAGAAATAAAGCATTGTGACTAGAAAAAAAGGAAAGTGTATATAGCAGCAAAGAAATAAAGCATTGTGAATAGGAGAAAGAAAAGTGAATATAGCAGCAAAGAAATTAAGCATTGTTACTAGAAAAAAAGTAAAGTGCATATGGCAGCAAAGACATTAAGCGTCAAATTGGAAATGTCCTCCAAATGTCTGATATAAAAAAATTATAAAAATCTTCACTGAGGCCTTGCATGGTGTACATTACCCTGATCAAAGACTTTTGAACAATAGTTGTATGAAGCTCTTTGAAATCTTTGTAGAAAGATAGAAAGAATTTAAGCAGGGTGAATAGCAGCAAAGAATGTACATATAGCAGCAAAGAAAATTAAATGAAAGAAGTGAATAAAAACAGGCGTTAAGCAAGTCCAATAGATGCAAAGAGGACTATAATGAAACAACTTACACCAACATGTATCACATTCCAGAAGCGTGTATAGAGAGGCTACTTTCAGGTGTTTTGATTAAAAATAATGAACATTGCACATTATGCTTCAAAGGACTCATTGTGTGAGCTAATGTAGACCAGATAGACGCTTGTCTCCTGACTTGATATGTCCAAACAAGTGTACAACAATCCACACCTTGTAAATATCATTAAACGTGCTATTCTGTGCGTACATGTTTGTAAATACAAGATAAACATATTTATTGCCACTTGAACTTTACATAAAACATGACTTTACTTATGAATGATGCTTATGTTAGAAAGTCCCATAAAAATTAATAGCAAGGCGGTGACAAAACATTAATCATAATGAAATCCACGTATCACAAGAGCAACGTGTACATAATAAACCTCTAAAGTTTCATATATACGACTCAAAAAATGTCAAGAACCGATTCTTTCATATAAATATAGTTTATCCGTCATGGCAAATACATGTGTAGGAGTAGGCTTAACACATGTCCGAGCGGAAATAATACCGTTTCCTTTACCTGCGTTATGAAACCATACAGTAGTCAATTAATATTGCTACATTTATATAAGTGTTAGCAACATTCAAGGCCTCATTTAAGCTTTCAAAAAGTTCTATGGTAGACATGTGGAGGACTTTTCCAAATATGACGCATTAGTGACAAGAATGATGCCCGATGCAATTCCCTATTTTGACTTGCATAATATGTTCCCGTGTTTCTTTAGGTGAACAGTAGATTTGTCTTTGCATGTGTTTGTGACGGGTGCAACCGGTGGTTCAGGATTCCCTCACCTTTTGACAAATACCTGGTATCATCACTATTTGTTTGAGATTCATAAACACCTGCTCATGATATAGTAGGAATCGTACAATTTGACAGATATTTCTTATGAATAAGGAATATAAGTTGCAGCAGATCACGAGGGGTACATATGGTTTTATGTCACTCTTCCGGTGAGTGGTATAAAAACCCACGTACCCCAAGTGATGCTGCTTCAACGAATTGATCTTACCGCTATGTATTATTCTGCTATTGTAAAAAATTAAAAACAAATTAAAAATTGATGGAAAACTGTTGCCCGATTGCTCGATTGAGCTGAGGTTAACTTTCATTCTCGGAAAAAGCGTGCGGCTTTTTGCTTCGAAGCGGGTATAAGGGATTCATTCTCCCACTGAGAAATCCAGGTGTATCCTGTTTTCTTCATGGAGGGATATAAGGTATTTATTCTCCTTCACAGAAATTCTGACATGGAGGTATGATGAAGGGTTTTGTCACCTTTACTGTACATTCATAGTAAGACTGTTATTGTATTGTTTTCTCCTCTCAAGGTGGATAAGAGAGAAGCAAGATATGACATACGTGTGTCGGGTACTCTACACACACATCAGACTGTGTGCTGTACGATACTGGGGAGAAGTTATAGTACTGCTGGAATGATGCATATTCATTGTGATTATCATTCTTGAATTTATTCGAATAAACTCATAAAGGAAATCGCGTGGCATTTACTTGCTGTTACACCTGAACGGCAGTTCTATCACATTTCTCGGGCATATCGTATCATGCCACAAATCATATCCTATCATGAACGATGAAGAAATTGTTGTTTAACATTTATATTTATATATTTGAATTCTAATCATACAATTCTTTTACCTATTGAAATGAAAAAAACATTGTTATAAAACAGGGCCACTTCCGATCGATTTGAACACACACGGTCTTGTACTAAATGATGAAGATGCACTGGCGCTGCGTGGAGCATGTCTACTCAGCTCCCTGTTGTTAGAGTGTGTCGTTATGTCGTAATCTCCATGCTACTATTTCTAATAGCGGACACACTGTGCATATGTCTGGTATTGTGTTTGTTTGTTGTTTAATACCGCACACAGTAATATTGGTATTGAGACAAACACGTTACATGTGTTTCTCAGATATTGTATTTTATAATTACACCAGTAGATTGGCTTCAGAAAATATATATTTCTTTTTCCAAATGTTGCCCAGCTATTTCGATACGTATGTAATAGTACAGTTAGTACAGTTCTGGTTGTTTTTAATCCCCAGACGCTATGTTTGACGGGATGTTTGGGGTATGGCTATTTATTTTAACTCAGTTCTCACAAAATCAACTAACGTGACTTTGTGAGCACACTGCTTGATGGCTTCATATTAAAGCTGTAAAATCAATATAATATTTTCAATTTATAGGGGCAAAATTACTGTTTCCTGTTTCTGGTCAGACATTAAATATGGTAGGCTGGTCAAAAATAGTTGAAAAAATTGATGCGACATGAATAAAAGCGACAAAACCTTTTTCCTAATTATAATAAAAGCAGAGTCGATTGTATGATTCCGACTATATTATGAGCGAAAAGGTAAGCGTATCCTGCCTTACCGGTCTCACCCATCACAAATACATGCGTCACGACATGGCTGAAATATTGCTGATGTGGCGTTAAATTTTGACTCACAAACACATGCAAAGGCAAATCAATTGTTCAACTGAAAGAAACCACGTCAGAATATGGTCCAAGTCAAAATGTGGAATTGCGGACAAACGTTTCGTCACTTATGCGCCGAATTTGCAACTGTCTTCCACGTGTCTATCATAAAACCTTTTGAAATCTTCTCTAAGGCCATGGATGTTGTCACCCAAAAGAAGCTAGTTTAGAGCAAGGGTTCCCAGCAATGTCCCCTGTCTTTCTCTCAAACAGTGTGGGGCGGTCGGGTAGCCTAGTGGTTAAAGCGTTCGCTCGTCACGCCGAAGACCCGGGTTCGATTCCCGACATTGGTACAATGTGTGAAGCCCATTTCTGGTGTCCCCTGCCGTGATATTGCTGGAATATTGCTAAAAGCGGCGTAAAACCATACTCACTCACTCACTCACTCACTCACTCAAACAGTGTGTGCATACAGATACATGTAGCTATGTCACGGTATTGATTTCACACCGACCTAAGAAATCGAACCGAACCTTACCGATCCAGATTCATTGAATAAAAATATATTTAAATCCTACTGAACCTTCTCAATGCTATCAAAATATTCTTCCAAACAAATTGTATCCATTGCTGGGGAAACGTCAACCGTTAATATGAGGCTGAGCTGGCTAAAAACCGGAACAAGCCCGATTAA